CTCGGCAGGGAGTCTGCTTCTCCCTCTGACCCTCCTCCCTCTCATGCTCTCTGTCTCAAATAAATAAATAAAATCTTTAAAAAAAAAAAAAAAAGTGTTAACAAGAAAATCATAAGGAAAATATATTGACAGTAATGTACTAATGGCCAAAAATGCACATATGAGTGGACCCGTGCTGGTCGTCCCCCCACACACACACCCCCCCCCGCCGCTGTTCACAGGCCAACTGTAGGGCCAGGCAGGGAGGTCTGGCAGGGCCACCGAGAAGGGGAGTTGCTCCTTTTCCTACAGTAAAGAAAGGAGTATTTCTTTTGTATCCCTGTCTCAATCAGGGGTGGGAAACCGGTGTTTCCTCCCTGCTGGTCTCATGGGAGAGTAGGCTGGTCCCTGTGGCCCGCGGAGGAGGGCCCGGTGCTGACCCCTGGTGGTGACACATGGCTCACCACTGGAGTGCTGCCTCCTGGGGACCCGTTCAAACAGCAGCCAGTTACCCGCCAAGGAGGACTTTGGGCTGGGTGGTCTAGCATCTCACACGTACGTTTATTATTACCCTGACCCACACAGTTCAAGAGGAGTTGGGGTGTTGCTACAGCGTTGGGTATAAACTGCAATCCTACGTGCTGAGAAAGATCATGGTAGCAGGCGGGCTAGGCTAGTGTGGAAGTGAGGGATCGGGGAGTGGGGTGAGCTCACGTGGCAAGGACAGCTGCCCTGCGTTTCCCCACGAAGCCACCTTCGGTACCTGTATAAAGAAAAATGCACTATCTAAACAAAATCCTGGTAAAATTGAGCTGTGTTCTGTACCTGCACATTTTACACACTAGCAAATACAGCTTAGTCCCGTGCAATTTCTTAAAAATAGACTTAAACCTCCTCCACCTATTTCTCCCTCTCCCCACCCCTGCCTCTGGCAACCAGCAATCTGTTCTCTATATCTATGAGCTTGGGGTTTTTTGGTTTTGTTGGGTTTTCTTTGTTTTTTTTTTTAAAGAGTCCACATATAAGTGAGCTCATACAGTATTTTGACTTTCTGTCTGACTCATTTCACTTAGCATAATGCCCCCGAGGCCCGTCCATGTTGTCACAAATGGCAAGATTTCATTCTTTTCTGTGGCTGAGTAATATTCCATTGTATTGAAGGGGTTCAGGACACTCCCCCCCCCCAAATGTGCCACTTTGGCATGTGGATTATCTTGAGCTAGAGGCACTTGAGACCCTGCTGAGCTCAAGAGAAACTTTGATCCCTTCCCTAACTATACAGAAGAATCTAAATTGGGGGTCTTTCCCAGAATAAGGGCTATTAACAGAGGTAAATTTTACCTGAGTGATCCATCTGTTGGGTAGGGCAAACATCTAATTACCAAACATCTGCTCTTCTTATCACCCTGTGAAATGCATTCCTTCCCTCCGAAATCCCAGAGCCCTGCCCCCTTCTCCTTAGTTCAGAATGACATACAGACCTCATTTTGCCTGACTGTCTTTGGAATGTCTGTGTCTGTGTGGATTCCCTGTATGTACGCTCTTAAATTTGATTTTCTCCTATTAATCTCTCTCATGTCAATTTGATTCTTAGCCCAGCTAGAAGGACCTTGAAGGGACAGGAATTCTTGCTCCCTGACAGTATTTATAACACACTTTCTTTACCCATGTATCCATTAATGGACATTTCCGCTGCTTCCCTATCTTGGCTGTTGTAAACAATGCAGCAGTGAACATGGGGTGCAGAACTCTTTTTGAGTTAGTGTTTTCATTTTCTTCAGATAAATACCCAAAAGTGGGATTGCTGGATCATAGTGTAATTCTATCTTTAATTTTTTGAGGCACCTCCATACTGTTTTCTTCAGTGGCTGCACCAGCTTGCATTCCCACCCACAGTGCATAAGGGTCCCTTTTTCTCCACATCCTCGCCAACACTTGTTGTTTCCTGTCTTCTGATGATGGCATTCTGACAGCTGTGAGGTGTGCACTTGAGCAGAATGTGTGTGTGCTTTTGGATGGAATGTTCTATAAATGTTTGTTAGGTCCATCTGGTCTAACGTGTTCCTTAAGGCCAATGTTTCCTTATTGCTCTTCTGTCTGGGTGACCTATCCATTGGTAAAAGTGGGGTATTAAAATCCCTCCCTATTGGGGCACCTGGGTGGCTCAGTCAGTTAAGCATCCAACTCTTGGTTTCAGCTCAGGTCATGATCTCGAGGTCATGAGATCAAGCCCCATTTCGGGCGCTATGCTCAGGGCGGAGTCTGCTTCAGATTCTCTCTCCCTCTCCCTCCTGCTCCCTTTCTCTCTCTTTCTCTCAAATAAATAATCTTTTTTAAAAATCCCTTACTATTATTGTGTTGCTATTTCTCCCTTTAGATCTGTTAGTATTGGCTCTATATAATTGGGTACTTCTATGTCGGGTGCATAAATATTGACCAGTGTTATATCCTTGTTGGATTGACCCCTTTACCTTTATGTAATGTCCATCTTTGTCTCTTATTTACTCTAGCTTTCTTTTCATTTCCATTTGCATAGAATATCTTTTTCCGTCCCTTCACTCTCAGTCTGCGTGTGTCCTTACAAACATCTGAAGTGAGTGTCTTGTAGGCAACATGTAGATAGGTCTTGTTTGTTTTCTTCTAATTCCAGTGTAGTTAACATACAGTGTTACACATTTCGGGTGTACAATGAAGTGATTCAACAATTCTATACATTACTTAGTGCTCATCATGATAAGTGTCCTCTTCATCCCCTCACCTATTTCACCCATCCCCCCATCCACCTCCCCTCTGATAACCATCTCTCTGTTCTTCACAGTTAAAGAGTCTGTTTTCTGGTTTGTCTGGGCTTTTTTTTTTTTTTCTTTGTTTTGTTTCTTAAGTTCCATATGTGAGTGACATCATCTGGTATTTGTCTTTCTCTGACTGACTTCACTTAGCCTTATATTCTCTAGATCCATCCATGTTGTTGCAAATGGCAAGATTTCATTATGGCTAATATTCCATTATATATACACACCACATCTTCTTTATCCGTTCATCAATTGATGGACACTTGGGCTGCTTCCATAATTTGGCTATTGTAAATAACGTGGCTATAAACATAGGGGTGCATGTATCCCTTTGATTAGTGTTTTTGTATTCTGTGGGTAAATAGGGTAAATACCCAGTTGCGTGATTATTGGATCATAGTGTAATTCTATTTTTAATTTTTTGAGGCACCTCCATACTGTTTTCCACAGTGGCTGCACCAGTTTGCCTTCCCACCAACAGTGCACAAGGGTTCCATTTTCTCCACATCCTTTCCAACACCTCTTGTTTTTTGTGTTTTTTTTTGTTTGTTTGTATTTTTTTATTTTTGTTTTTGTGTTTTTTATTTTAGCCACTGTGACAGGTGTGAGGTGATATCTCATTGTAGTTTTGATTTGTATTTCCTGCTGATGAGTGATGTGGAGCATCTTTTCATGTGTCTGTTGGCCATCTGGATGTGTCTGGAGAAATGTCTGTTCATGTCTCCTGCCCATTTTTTTTTTTTTAAAGATTTTTTATTTATTCATCATTTGAGAGAGCGAGAATGAGAGAGAGAGAGAGCACATGAGAGGGGGGAGGGTCAGAGGGAGAAGCAGACTCCCTGCTGAGCAGGGACCCCGATGCGGGACTCGATCCCGGGACTGCAGGATCATGACCTGAGCCGAAGTCCTGCCCATTTTTTAATTGGACTGTTTGTTTTTTGGATGTTGAGTTGTATCAGTTCTTTATATATTTTGGATACTAATCCTTTATCTGATATGTCATTTGTAAATATCTGCTCCCATTCCGTAGGTTGTCTTTTAGTTTTGTTGGTTGTTTCCTCTGCTGTGCAGAAGCTTTTTATTTTGATGTAGTCCCAATAGTTTATTTTTGCTTTGATTTCTCTTGCCTCTGGGGACCTATCTAGAAAAATGTCGCTATGGCTGATGTTAGAGACATTACCGCCTGTGCTCTCTTCTAGTGTTTTTATAGTTTCAGGTCTCACATTTAGGTCCTTAACCCATTTTGAGGGTTTTTTTTGTGTGTGTGTATGGTGTACAAAAATGGTCTAGTTTCATCCTTTTGCATGTAGCGGTCTGGTTTCCCCAACACCATTTGTTGAAGAGACTGCCTTTTTCCCCATTGGATATTCTTGCCTCCTTTGTTGAAGATTAATTGACCATATAATCATGTGTTTATTTCTGGGCTTTCTATTCTGTTCCATGGATTTATGTGTCTGTTTTTGTGTCCATATAGACAGGTCTTGTTTTTTATCCACTCAGCCACTTTTGATTGGAGAATTTAGCCCATTTACATTTAAAGTAAATATTGATAGCTATGCACTATTGCCATTTTGTTAATTGCTTACCGGCTGTTTTGTTCTGGGCGAGCCAGGCTGGGGCAGGGGACCAGAGCAAGTGTTTGCTCTGGATCAGCCTCTTCATTCTTCAGTGTTTGTTGAAAGAAGGGAAAAACTCAAGGTACAGGAGTATAACGGTCAAGGGGAGGGGGCTTTGGGCAGGTGGGCAGTCGTTGGGCAGTCACACGGCCACACTTGGACTCACCTGGTCTTCCGCCCGCAGCCTGGGACTACAGCCAGGGCTTCGTAAATGAAGAGATGATCCGGGATCACCTCCCGCCTCCAGAGGAGGAGCCACTGATACTGATGTGTGGACCCCCGCCCATGATCCAGTACGCCTGCCTGCCTAACCTGGACCGCGTGGGCCACCCCAAGGAGCGCTGCTTCGCCTTCTGAGGGCCAGGCACTGGCTGCTCGCGCGCCCGCCCCGCATACTCACCGTGACCTGTCCACACCTCCCGCCACTGTTCTTTAACATCACTTCCTTCCCCCACATCTCCCACTGTGGCCCCGGGTTTAGCCTGGCCTGCCTGTGCTTGGCTGGCTATCCCGCTGGGCTGGCCCCCGACGGACCCCTTTGGGAGCAGGGTTCTGTTACAGGTGGGCTGCCACCAGCCACCTTCTGGGCGGGTTCCTGTCTGGCCCTCATCGGTTCTTACCAGTGATGCTCGGCCCTGGCCCTGGCCCTCCCCTCCCTCCACGCCACCCACCCACACACTACTAGGCCAAGGCTGCAAGCACCACGCTCCACCCACCCCTCCCAGGGCAGACGACGTCTGGAAATAAACACGAATGTACAGGTAGCCCAGAGCTGCAGGTGCCAGGGACCCCCCCCCGCCTCCCAGGCACTGCCTCGGGACCCTCGCCTGCCACCCCTCACTACCTGCTCAGGGCCACAGCCTGGCCTCAGCACCTGACACTACATGACAGTAACACCAAAAAGTCCTCTTGGCAGGCGCCGTGGGATAGAGAGTCTGTCCCCCACCCCAGGACCCAGGCAAGCCCAGCCAGCAGGGAGCTGGGCTCTCCCCTCTCTGGGCTGGAGTAGGAGGAGGAGGGGGCTGGCCGAGGGCTCCTTTGGTGGGCACACGGGCCCTCTGGAAGCCTCAGCATCTTCCCCAACACACCTGAGCATTCAGGCCGGCAGTCTGGTTGATCGCCTCGGGAGCCCGGGCCACCAGCGCTGATGGCCGAGCTGAGACATGTGTATTTATTCCTCTGTCCCAGACCCGCCCCTCATGCTGCCTGCACCCCAGCAGAGGGGAGGTTTCGTCTGAGCAGCATTCTCCGTGATCTTGATGTTGCCTTTAGACAAGGGTGGGTTCGCCTCTTGCATATGGGCTTTTTCAGAATCATTTATGAGCAGAAAAAACATTGAAATAAAACTTTGCTATTACTAACCCTTCTGCAGTTCCCTGAGGCTCTGCGACTTGTGTCATTGGTGGGGGGCGGTGGGAGAGGAGACAGGAAGGGGCCCGGCACTTATTTCTAATGTGTGTTGGTGTTCGTCCTGTAAGGTTTGGACTGTACAGAAAGCTATGCACAGGAAAAAAATACTGGACATCCCGAGGAAACACCAATCGCTCTGATGAAACCACATGGCCCATCGGGGGGCTGCTGCTTTTCCCCTCATCAGGGGTCACACATTCTCCATAAGCCCACCCGGATCATGATTTATTATGTAGCAAATCCCCTATGCTTGGACAGTTGGGCTGTTTCCCATTTGTGGACTTTGTAAATAACGGTGGCCCGCCTCACCCTCCTTTCAGATGATTTTTTTTTTTTTAAGTTGGCTCCACACCCAGCGTTGGGCTTGAACTCACAACTTGACATCGAGAGTCGCGTGCTCTACCGACGAGCCAGCCAGGTGCCCCTCAGATGGTTTTTTTGAGGCTAGATTCCTGGAGACGGAAAGCCGGGCCAGGGCGTGTGGACGCTGGGAGTCCAGCCTTGAGACCCTCCTCTCGTGTCCAGCCCCCTCATGCCCAGCCTTATTCATGCCATCTTGGCGGTGTGAAAAGCTCTCTCCAGTCCTGTTGTGCAACTCTGTATGTCCCATTGTTTTCCTTTTTGCTTTCCCCTCCGGCCAGCCCTGAAAAGCAGGGAGACATCATTAGCCTCAGTTTCTGCTGGAGGGACTGAGGCTCAGCAGTGAATGGCCTTCGGGTTGGAGGTGGGTCCTGAAGTAAGGCAGGCATCAATCTTCCTGTGGAAGGCTGCAAGTGGGATCGCTAGCTCCCTTGTTCCTTCATGCACTGTTCCAAGTGCCAGGGACTCGGCTGCAGCTGCCCCAACACGCCCTCTCCTACTCCTGGGGTGCCGGTGAGAAAGATGTAAGCCAGACGGTGTCGTGAGTGAGATGGTAAATGCCAAGACAGAAATCAGGACACAAGGCAACGTGGGAGTGAGGACTGCTCTCTGAAGAGACAACGAAGCTGGCCCTGCTGAGGTAGGTGTTCAAGGTGGTGGGAACTCAGCAAGTGCAGACGCCTTGCATTGGGAACAAGCCTGTGGAATTAACTTCCAGAAACAGATGGAAGGAAGCAGGTCGCTGAGGGGACGGTGGAAATGAGGCTGAAATGGAAGCACACTAGATGTGCTCTAGAGGGAGTGACTAGCAAGTGCAAAGGCCCTGGGGCAGAGACCTGCTGGATGTCTCCAGGAACATCGTGAAGGCCAGTGTGACTGGAGTGGAGGGGGGAAGAGGACAGGATGGGGGAGTGCGCAGGAAGGAATGCCAGAAGCCGAGCCTCAGGCCAGGGAGCCCCTTTCTCCTCTCTTCTCCTCTTACCTTCTATTCTGGCCCAGGCCCACATCCTAGAGCAGGGCTGGGACTCCTCAGTGGGCAGGAAAGGCCTTGGCCTGGGAATCCCTCCTCCACACCTACTGTGTGCAGGGGATTCTGCAGAGCACTGGGCTCACATTAGGTCTCCTCATCCGGGTCCCCTTCTGGAGGATGAGAAAACAGGCCTGAGTGTCAGGCTTTGAATGTACACTTGCCTGAGCTCACAAGGGGCTGTCCCCAGGAGCTGAGAAGGGCATGGATTGGCCCTGGTCCCTACCCTCTCTCGTAGTCTCATGACTTTCCACCCTCTCAGACCTGACACCCTTTTAAAATAACATTTATAACCGCCTCTTTAGTCTCCTGAAGTGGATTCACAGGTAATATCACCAGCCTACACAGAGAATTTTTTTTAAAAATCGGGTCGCCGGGGGCCATGGTCACAGGGCCAAATGCAGCCGGACTCCCGGTCTCTGCTGCGAGGGACGCGGTTTTCCCAAGCAGGGCACGATTCTTGGTCTCTTTCCAAACAGAGCAGGACCGGATACCTTCAGCTACGGCGCAGCTGCGTTCCTGGCAATTCCACGTTTGTTCACACTGGGCAAAAAGTCCGACGTGTCCATACAAGACACGCAGTGAAGCCCTGCCTGGGAGAACTGCAATGGGCCTCTTCCCTCCCGGAACGTCGGAATGCCGCAGGCGCAGGCGTCGGGAAGGCCCACGTCTCAGGATTGCCACACCCCAGTCCCCAACCTCCACATGACCGGATTCCGGATCCCTGTCCTTCAGATAACCAGACACCACCCTGCAAAACTCTACACCCTCCGAAATGCCTCCAGGGGAGGGCCACTCCGCCGACAGTTGATCTCAGTTAATGACCTTATTGAACTGGCTTTATAAAAATAACCTTTAAGTCACTTTATTACATTTCACTTAAGTCGTGCCGGGGCCTTAAATCCTGCGGTCCTCCGGCCCCTCCCTTGTTCCTCGGCACCTGCCCTCCGCAGTCCCGCAGGGGAGGGCGGTGAGGCCGACCTGGGCCCTCCCTTCCTCGTACCTGCTCCGCGCGGTCCTCCCCGCACTTCCTGGAAGGAAGAAAGGAAGGACGGAGGGAGGGGTTAGCGCCCCGTTTTACAGCTGAGAAGAGGAGGGCCAGCCAGCTCCCCATCGCGGCTGCGCAGGTGGGACCTGGCTTCCCGCCCTCTGTCTGTCCCGACCCCGGACCCGCTGGCTTTACCAGCTCTCGCCCACAGAGCTCCTGATGCCAGAGTTTTAATTAGGTGTTCTGTCAACAGTACATGAACTCCACTGGCATCACTGCACTTAGAAATTAATAATAATAGGGCGCCTGGGTGGCTCAGTTGGTTAAGCGACTGCCTTCGGCTCAGGTCATGATCCCGGAGTCCCTGGATCGAGTCCCGCATCGGGCTCCCT